GCTGAACAGGCCCAGCTCCCTCAGCCTCTCCTCACAGGGCAGATGTTCCAGGCCCCTGATCATCCTTGTGGCCCTGCGCTGGACTCCCTCCAGCAGCTCCACATCTCTCTTGTCCTGTGGAGCCCAGAACTGGACACAATACTCCAGATGCGGCCTCACCAGGGCTGAGTAGAGTAGAAGGGCTGGAGCAGCCTGGCTGCCTGGCCCCAAGGCTCCTTTTAGGGCTTAAATGCTAAGGAATGGGGGAAGGATGTGCTCTGTGCGGGTCTGGAGGCTCTGCGGGGTTCCAGCTTTGTCCTGCATGCAGCATCCCTCATGCCACGGTGCCATCACTGCAGCGTGTCACCAACACAGTGCCCCCTCCACCAGGTTCAACACCGGCTCCGGCACCGGCGTCATCACCAGCAAGGTCCGCATCGAGCCCGGCAAGTGGCACCAGCTGGTGGTGAACCGCAACCGCCGCAGCGGCATGTTGTCCGTGGACGGCGAGCCCCACGTCAACGGGGAGAGCCCCACGGGGACGGACGGGCTCAACCTCGACACCGACCTGTTCCTTGCAGGAGCTCCAGAAGACCAGATGGCCGTGTGAGTAGCGGGTGTTGGACCGCTGCCCTGGGCACCGCGGATGAAGCGTCGCGGTGGCTCTGCAAACTGGTGGGAATGGGGACATCTCAAGGCCTGGGGTGATTGCAGTGGCTGGGAGGCCTTTTGCCACTTTGTCCTTTGTCCCCGCAGGGTGGCGGAGCGCACGGGGGCCACGGCCGGCCTGAAGGGCTGCATCCGCCTCCTGGATGTGAACAACCAGATGTACGACCTGCGGGAGAAGGGCAGCGACGTGCTGTACGGCAGCGGCGTGGGCGAGTGCGGCAACGACCCCTGCCACCCCAACCCCTGCCACCACGGGGGCATCTGCCACGTGAAGGAGGCCGAGATGTTCCACTGCGAGTGTCTGCACAGCTACACGGGTACGGGAAGGGGCACCTGGGCCACCACCGGGACGCACCAAGGTGTCCTTGAGCCTTCGGGCTCTGCTGTGAGCTGCAGTGAGGGAGGTTCAAAACCCGCTTGGACGCAGTCCTGTGCCACGTGCTCTAGGTGACCCTGCGTGTGCAGGTGGTTGGACTAGATGACCTAGAAGGTCCCTTCCAACCTTAACGATTCTATGATTCTAGGTTGGGTCTGGGGGTGTCCACTGCAGCTTGGAGGAAGAAGTGCAGCATGAAGCCAGGCCTAGTGTAGACAGAATGAATTTAGGCCAAAAGCTATTCGTGAGATGAGGACAGGACCCAGGAAGGCGGCTGGCAGAGCCATCCAGAGGCATCCATCCTGTGCATGCCCCGGGATGGAGCTGTCTCCGCTCGGGCCATGCCCAAGGGGCATTGGAGATGCTAACCCAGCGCACGCTTTTGTCTGGTGCAGGTCCAACGTGTGCTGATGAGAGGAATCCCTGTGACCCTACGCCCTGCCACGTCTCTGCCACTTGCTTGGTGCTGCCAGAGGGAGGTGCCTTGTGCGCCTGTCCCATGGGACGCGAAGGAGACTTCTGTGAGCAAGGTGGGACAGGTTCCGGGGCAAGAAGCATGGCCAAGGAAAGGGAGGGAGCCAAAGGTGCTCATCTGGCCCAGCAGGGCTGGGTCAGAGACCTCCCAGGCTTCACCGTTCCCCTGTTTGTGTCTAGTGACAGAGCAGGACCACAGCATCCCCTTCCTGCCGGAGTTCAATGGCTTCTCCTCCTACCTGGAGCTGAACGGGCTGCAGACCTTCGTGCCCGACCTGCAGTAAGTGCCCCAGAGCAGAAGTGCATGCACACATGAGCATGTATGGTCTTCATGCCATGCCTGTAGTCGCTGGCAGGTGAAGGTCCTCTTGCAAACCCTTTGTCTTAGGGGTGGAGGAGGAGAGCACATGGGCAACCTCTTTGGAAAATGTCGGTAACTCATCTCTCCTTAGGGACAAAATGTCTATGGAAGTTGTGTTCCTGGCCAAGAACCCCAACGGCATGATCTTCTACAACGGGCAGAAGACGGATGGCAAAGGGGACTTTGTCTCACTAGCCTTGCACAACGGCTACCTGGAGTACAGATACGACCTGGGCAAAGGGGCGGCTGTGCTCAGGTAGGGGTGACATGGGGAATGGGGATGGTGGTGACAGAGGCAGCAAGGAGGCAGGAGTGGCTTTGGTGACCAGCCTGGCTTTGAGCCCCCTCCCCAGAAGAGTGTGAAGCAGGGAGCAGTTTCACACTGGCCTTGGTGGCTCCTGGCCTGTTGGCTCTCCATGGAGCAGAGCAGGGCTGATGTTCTCCAAGCTTTGGGTATCTTGTGGGCTAATGCTGAGCTCTCTACAGCTGTGAGCTGGTGCAACCCAAGCTGCTCCAACTGCAGGAGCTTGGGCAGATCCCAGGCTGGTCAAGAGGGGTTTGCGGGTGGCCATGGCAGAGCTCTCAGATGCGTCTTCTCTTCCCTTCCCACCATCAGGAGCAAAGAGCCGGTTCCCCTCAACACCTGGATAAGTGTTTTGCTGGAGAGGAACGGCCGCAAAGGGGTGATGAGGATCAACAGCAGCGAGAGGGTGATGGGAGAGTCGCCGGTAAGTTGGGTGGCCAGGAGGAGCCAGGCAGAGCTCTGAGGGTTCAGGCCCTGCTGCTGCCATGCATGGAGCGAAACGAGCAGTTCTCAGGCCCGAGGGCTTTTCTTCTTTGTGGGAGGAGAAAGCAAAGGTGATTGTCACACAGGGCCTTGATGGGGCTCAGGAGCACTTCCCGCGTGAAGAGCCAGGCCAGGGAGAAGTCACTGAGTAGCAAAAACCTGTTTGTGCCATTGCTGCTGAGGACGTTCGTGCTGCCTTTGCTCTGTTTCCAAGCTAGCAGCTTCTTCCTCTGGCCTCTCTCCGTGCCCTCTCCCTTCTGCACTTCTCTCTGCACAAACCCCAATTCCCTGGGATTTCACGGCAGGACCACTGGCCTTCCTGTTGTCCGCTTTCCATCGGTGAAGCTGAGAATGCAGGAAAACCAACCCAAAAACCCCAATTGCTGGTGAACCCATCCCTAAAACCCACCTAGAAACGTAGGAGGAGGACTTTGCTCCTTCCTCACCAGCCCTGCGGTCAGGCAGCTGGATTCACATCTGGATCAAGCCCTGGCCCTTTCATATCTGTACCGATACAGCATGTAAAAGAGGGGCTTTTTGCCCTCCCCGCGCTCTCCTCTTTTCAAACTTCTTTCCAAATTAAGGTTACACCAGGGTGGCAGCATCCCCTTCTGCATCTCCTGGGCTGCAGCCCGTGTGCTTGCAGCCTTGCATGTTACGATGGTATCCACTGATCTCCCATCTCTTTCTTTCTCTCTCTCTGATTTTCCTTTGTGTTTTTTTCCTCCTCTGCTGTCTGGACCCCAGAAATCCCGCAAGGTAAAAGATAAGTATGAGCCACTGCACCTCCATCTCATCTGCCATCGGCACGTTATTCTTCTGTGTCTGTTTTCCATCCAGATCTCAGTTTCACCCATTCCCCTTCTCCTCTGACCAAGCAGCTCTAGGATCCCTGTAGATTAGAGATACTTTTTTCCTGATCCTTCATTACTTTGTAGATGGTTATTACGTATTTTTTTCCAGAAGCATTTCAATTAATCTGGTCATATTTGTTGTGTTAACTCCACAAAGCATTAGCTAATGATTCATATAACTGCACCCTTGTTTCTGCCGTGTTTCTGGGTCCACCCTGGGTACGTAGGAAGGGACATCCCTCCTGTTGTGTGCCTGGTGTGGCCGAAAATTCCCCTGGGACTTTGTGCCACACAGCTGGGATGCAGGAGGACGTCAGAGACGGGGGGACATCAAAGAGGGCATCTTTACAAGGACAGGGACCTCGAGTCCCTGCAGAGCGGGGCCCGATGCATCCCTGCCAACTTCGGGGACAACCTTGTCCCCTCTCACTCTTGGTGCTCTCCTCCGCAGGTGCCTCACACCTTCCTGAACCTCAAGGAGTCCTTTTACGTGGGGGGAGCCCCTGACTTCAGCAAGCTGGCCCGAGCCGCTGCCATCTCCACGAGCTTGGAGGGGGCCGTGCAGAGGGTAAGACTCTGATGTGGGTCCGCACGGGAAGGGCTGGAGGACGCTCAGGTCCACGTGCCTATGGGACACACCAAGAGGGGTTGTAGGGATGGATGTCGCACGGGGACAAGCGGGAGGTGGGGTTGGACACTGGCCTCTTCCCCACGATGTGCTGAAGGCTGATCTGTGCTTCATCTTCCTCGCGCCGTCCAGATCTCCGTCAAGGGGGTGCCCGTCCTCAAGGAGGAGAACATCCGCAGCGCCATCGCGGTCTCCTCCTTCCGAGGCCACCCCTGCACGCAGAAGCCGAACCCCTGCGAGAACGGGGGCGCCTGCAGCCCCCGGCTGGAGAGCTACGAGTGCGTTTGCCAGCGGGGCTTCTCCGGGGCGCGCTGCGAGAAAGGTGAGGTGGACACCGAGGTCCTGTGTCCTCTGCAGATGCTGCAACGAACCTGCGCCTTGGAGAGCTTGTCCCTGCTGCGGCTGCTGGGGGGGATTTGGGAGGAATGGGGTGTTTCCAGGCATGACGTTTCTCGGAAATCCATGCGTTGGGCGCATGTAGCAGGGCAATTGGTGCTGCTCATGGGTTGATCACCCAGCCCTGTCGCTTCCTTGGAGCTCTCTGTCCCTGTTTCAGGTTGCTGTACTCCTAGGGCAGAGAGACAGGGTTTGGCTTTATGGCACCTTCATCCTGAGTGAATCTGAGCAAATCCCTCTTTTGTGGTTTCTTTCCTTGCTACCTCCCTGAGTTCAATTCTTGGGCCATCACCAAACTGGGTTCCTCCTTTGAGCCACCAGGAGAGCAACAAGGCTGCAAATTCTAAGTCAGCTGGTTGCAAAACAGGGAGCTGTCCCAAGCTCAGGGGCTTCAGAGTGGGAGCAAAGCCTTGCAGGGTGCTGACCCGTCCCAAGGGATGGCTCAGTGCTGTGCTCCTTGTCCTGCTGGGAAAGCTGAGTGTGAAGGGCTGCTTTTCCTAGTCTCCAAGGAAGCACAAGCTGTGCTGTGTTGCCTGATGGCTCCTCTTCTTCCCGCAGTGATCATCGAGAAGGCAGCTGGAGATGCAGAGGCCATTGCTTTTGATGGTAGGACCTACATGGAGTACCATAATGCTGTGACAAAGAGGTAATTCGGCTGCTTTGCTGAACCAGGCTCATGTTACCAGGAGCAAGAGATAGAGGCCGGAGGTCCCATGTCCTCATTCTGCCATGTGTGGCAGTTAATGTCCCCTGGGGGCTTCTCAGGACGAGTGGCACCTCGTGCACAGCAGCTGAGAGCCCCGGAGCCCCCACCAGCCTCCAAACCCCGTGGACCCCTCGGGGTGCGGCTGAGCCCCAGCTGCACAGCACGTCCTGGCCACCCCCTCTTGCACCCTCTGCTCCCCGTAGCACTAAGGCTGCCCGTGTCCCCGAGGTGAGCGTCCCCGTGGAGCTGCTGTCCGTGTGTCTGTGTGTCTGTCTCCTCTCAACGTCTTGTCTCTTTGTTTTCAAGCCACCTCACCAATGAGATCCCTGCGTAAGTACCATGCTCCTCGCACCCCATGGCTGCCCAGGGCGGGAGGGGGATACAGGGATGCTCCGAGAGCGGCATTCCCATCGGGTGCCCTGCTCCTGGCCACCACTCCATAGGCTCCAGAGGAACCCCTAGGATGGAGGAGATCGCACATTGTCCCAGGAGCACGCTGCCATTTACCCTGCTTTAAGTGATGAGCAAAGAGGAGGAAAGTCCCCACGACATCCCGTTCCTGCCAGCAGGAAGGGCATTAGCTGTTGAGATAAGGGCTGCTGATCCTGCCCCATTTGCTCCTGCGTGAATGTGGAGCAATTAGCACCTACCCTTATTGCACCTTTGCAATAAGGGTTTCGTTTCCTGCAAGCTGGGCTCTCCGTGGACGCGTGCATGTCAGCAGCCCATGAACTGCAGAGCAGAGCCCATGGCCCTGTCCTGCGAGGAAGCAGGGCTTCTCCCCAAATCCTTACGGAACCCTTGGGCAGCATTCCTCAGAACCCAGAAGGCTCCGTCAGGCTGCCCTTAAAAAGCAATTTCTTTTGCCCCCCGACAGCCATCGGGCTGTGTCCTGGGCAGGGCTCGCTCTCCAGTTGCTGCTGGACCCTGCTGGCTAGGACATGCCCCATGCATTTTATTTCAGCGTGCACATAGCTATAAAATTGGAGCTGGTTGTAATGATGGCCCTGCTGCTTGCGGGCAATGCCAGCAAGACAGCTGTAGTGCTGGGTTTCCCCTTGCCCATCCTGCTGCTCCGGTGCCCCAGGCTCACCCAGAGAGGTCTCGGTGGCCGTTTGCCTCTGGCCGAGATGGGATCTCATCCCAAGGATCCCAAAGCAGCAGCCCTGGGTCTGCATGAAATAGCACCCATGAAGGAGGCATCTGCTGGGGTGCGAGTGGTCCCTGCCTGCGTGGGTGGGAGGAAGGGTGTCCCCTGCCCTGCGCTTATTTATCGCACGCTCCCCTTTCTTCCTGCCTCTAAGTCCCGACGCGCTGGACTCTGCCCTGGAGCTCAGGTGAGTCCAGGCCTCCTGCTCGCGGCTCCTGCTCTGCTCCTGCTGCATCCCCATCTCCTCTCTGTGCGTGTCCTTGTTGTCCACACCTTTGGCTTTCTATTTATAAGGGACACGGCTCTGTAGGAGCCAACACGGAGGAGGCCACACTTCCAGCTCTGCCCCTTCCTAACACTGAGTTACCTTGTCCAGCATCTCGAACGTGGTGTCCCTTGGGAATAAAAAGCCGTCTGTGTTGCCTGTGTTGTCCAGTCTATGTGTGCACTTGTGTCCCAGAGCATCCCAGGAAAGGGGATGGTGACTCCCCATGGCAAGGTGGCTCCTTGCCCAGAGCCTTTCGTCTGCTCCAAGAGGGCCTGAGCAAAGATGGGGTTGCCAAAGTGGGGGAAAACCCTCTCTCTGGCACGACTGGGACCAGACTGGCACTGTTCATCAGCCCACCTAGTAGCCTCCTCTTCCCATGCCTGGAGACCCAACCAGGGCTTCTCTGGGTTGGTCCAAGGAGGGCACAAGCTGAGGTCAATAGCCCCAGTTGTGTCTTACAAGGTTCTAGTTGGATGTTGGTGGAAAAAAATTAATTCCCAGGATATCTGCAGCCCCACATAGGAAGGTGGGCGAGTGCCCCCCTTGAGGGTTTCCAATCTCAGCTGGACAGAGCCATGGTTGCCCTCATCTAGGGCTTCAATAGTTCTAATCTTGGTGGGAGGTGGTTGAGAGGCCTCTTGGGGCTCCTTGCACCATTTCTGGGATCCTAGGGTCTAGTTGAGGGGCGGATCAGCTGCCTGGTGCTTTTGTAGCCCCGTTTTTAACTGTTTTCCCCCATTCCCACCTCCCGGCGCAGCGAGAAGGCCCTGCAGTCGAACCACTTTGAGCTGAGCATCAAAACGGAAGCCACGCAGGGGCTGATCCTGTGGAGCGGGAAGGGCCTGGAGCGCTCGGACTACATCGCCCTGGCCATAGTGGACGGCTTCGTGCAGATGACCTACGATCTGGGCTCCAAGCCCGTCGTCCTGCGCTCCACCGTGCCCGTCAACACCAACCGCTGGATCCACATCAAGGCATCCAGGTGCGGGGGCTCGGGACGTGCTGCTTTGGGATGGGCAAGCCATGGATGAGGTCAAGCCTTGGGAACCTGAGTCATGGCCTTGGCTTCGTGCCCTTTGATCCCTAAGTCATCCTCTTGGATAGTATTAGAGGAAAGGCATGCGGGCAATGCCATGCGGAGGGATGCGAGTTGTGACAGGCCTCCCCTGGCTTCTAGGAAGCACCAAAGGGGTGAGTCTGGCGGAGATACGAGAGCTCCGTGCCTGTTATTTTAGCTCGGCATTTGGTTCTTGTTGGGTCCAAGCTGTCCCTGTGCTTGGGGAGCTTTTATTTTTGGTAGTGGCAAGGGGAGTGGTGAGCAGATGGCATGGCTGGCACGCTGGGAATTTCTGCTGATGGCTCTCCAGGAATTAGGAGGAAAACGTGGCCCTTAGCAGGATGGATCTGTAGGAGCTTGTAAGGGATGCTGGATGGGAGCCCGCTGGATGGAGCAGGGTGTTGGTGCCCAGCTTTAGCATAGAGGGCACCTTTGGGGTTTGCACCTGAGGTTGCTGATGGTCTTTCCTTCCTTTTTCCCTTTCTGGGACAGGGTGCAGAGAGAGGGTTCCCTTCAAGTGGGCAACGAAGCCCCCGTCTCTGGTTCTTCTCCGCTGGGTGCGACGCAGCTCGACACGGACGGGGCTCTGTGGCTGGGTAAGCCGGGTGCAGCAGCTCAACCCTCTCCCTGCATCCCTCAGAGGCACCGCTGGCACTTGGGATGCTCCCATCCTTGTGTCCTTGGGTGGCTTTGAGGAGCAGGGTCCATCCCTGCATTTTTGGGGGTGCTGTGGATGCAGCAGGTCCTTTTCCCACCCTCTTGACGCCGCCGTGTTTTGCAGGAGGGATGGAGAAGCTCGGCGTGGCGCACAGGCTGCCCAAGGCCTTCAGCACCGCCTTCGTGGGCTGCATAAGGGACGTCACCGTCGACCACCGGGACCTGCATCTGGTGGAGGACGCTTTAAACAACCCCACGATATTACACTGCTCAGCCAAATAGACCCCAGGGACCCTCCCTTCTTCCTCCCACCCTCCTGCCTATTGCTGTAATTATTTTCTATTTTTGTAAACTTATTGCTTTTTATATTTTTGGGGGGAAGGGCTAAGGGGGGGAGGGGTAGGAAACACCTTTTCTTTTGGGTTATTTGTTCGGTTGCAGTTTATCCAGGTCAGTCAGACTCTAATCAAACAGCAGCAACAAAGAACAAGCCCTGAACCAAGTCTCCAAGAAGTGACAGAAGAACTTCCCCATTGCGTCTGCACTGTAAACTTCATCCATACTTGAAGCTTTTTATTTTTGTTTTGCGTTTTTTTGCATTTTTTTTACTTTTTTTCCCTCTCTGCTTGTGTTTTTGGGGGGCTGCTCGTGCCCTCGAGGGAAAGGGAAGGACGATGGTGCTGGCAAGACCTCGGTGGATTCCCCGCGTGCCCGTCTCAGGCCTTCCCCAAAGCCCCTTCTTCGGTGCTGAGCAGGGATGGAGCCATCTGAACCAAGTGGGGATTTGGTTGATTTACTCGTACAAGGATCTCCGCTGCTTTTCTCCTGGTATTAGAGCCCGTGCAAACACTGAAGCTCCTCCAAGCAGGAGGAAAAACAACCGTGAGCCTGTGGCAAGGGATGGCAGGGAATGTCCCACCGTATCCAGGATCCTTCTCCAAGGGAAGAGCCATCTATCCCACTGTGCCCCTTTACCCCCCGAGCAGGCAGCTGGCATTGCCGTGTGTAAAACGGTGTTTATGGAGCACGCAGAATTAATTAGAAAGATCCTGCTAGGCCTCAAATGTTACTTAAGAGCCAGGGTGCCGTCGCTGTGCAGTTTTCCTGCTAATTTTTTTAATACCACTTTTAGCGTTCTCTCAAAAAACGTTTCTCAGCACTGAGTTTTCAGCAATGAAAAGTCAAATTGCTTTTCTCAGGGTGACCTCTGAACATAGATGTAATGAAGGGGAACAGCATAAAGTGAAACCACCTGCGTTTCTTTTACTTTCCTTCTCCTTTTAAAATAAAGGGCAAAACTGCATGCGTTCCATTTCTAAGGTCAAAACATGAAGGACATTGGAATAGGTGCGTGGTTTTGAGTTTGTATTCCCGTCGTTTTGGGCCATGGTGGTGGTTTAAGAACAGTCCTTGCTAGTGCATTTCCTCCCTTCCCTCCCTCTGGATTTTTCTTTTCCCAATCCAGCCTAAGAAACCTTCGTGCTTCCCAAGCAGCCGTTGCTTCCCGCACTGCCAAGCAAGACCTGTTCCCCGTGGAAATCTCTTTTTTAATAAGTTGTCATCCTTCTAAGAACCCGTTGGTTGAATATCTCGTGGAGGGTCACGGCTTCTGTGAGATGAACTGGAGACTGCAGTGTTTGTGTGTGTGGGTGCATGGGTGGGTGCGTGTATGGGTGCGTGCATGGCAATACATGACATTTCAGGTGACTACTGTATATAGGGTGGCTCCTAAAGGAGGGTGCTGCGACTGTTGTGGAGCGGCTGTATTTTGATCGCAGGGTGTAGGTAGGCGAGGGCTGCGGGACGGGGCAGGACGGCTGATTTCGGGAGCTGGCGATGCCCGGAGAGCGGCACGCACAGAGGAAGCTGCTAATTTTCCAGAGTGTCACTGAAATGAAGCCAAGGTCACTGCAAAAAAGGAAAAAAAAATCACACAAAAAAACCTCTGTCTGCTTTTGCTGGGGCTTGGAACTGCCTTAAAACGGGACATTATGTCCTTGTCAAGCATCCTGAACCAAGGTCAGATTCAGCAGTGCTCCCTAGGGGCCGTGCACTTAACTTCGGCTTTATTTTTAATAGCATTTATACTGCGTATGTACAAAAAAGATATTGAGGTTTGTTTTTTTTTTTTTCTGGGGTTGTTTTTTTGCTCCTTTTTTAAAGAAAAAAAATTGTCTGTCCATGTGGCTTCATTTATAGGGTAAATTAATGACCATTGTAAACTGCTGTATGAATTCTGAAGGGCAATGCACAGTAGAGGGGCAGCATGATATAACCATTACTAACTTGTGTCTTTCGTCAATCACCATGAAATAAAGTTTGAAAACTATAAAATATGTTTTAAAGGGACCTGTTCTTTTTCATTCTTTGTTGCACCCTCTGCCTCACACCAACTCCCTTGGAGAGACACGATGTGGAGTCAAACTGGTTTCTGCCCTTGAACCCGAGTGACTTGTGCAGGTACCTGCTGTATCTTCTAATTCATTCTCCTTACGATGGTCAACTCGATGCTGGCTGTAGGGAGGGGAATTACAATCTCTGAGTTATTATTTCACTTGTTCAAGTGCCCTTTTGCCTTTCCTTCCTTATTCTGTATGTTTTTATCGGCTTTTCTAGCGGGCCCAAGTCTTGCAGCTTCATCTTTCTGCAAGGAATAAGGATGCAATGGATAATTTCTGCCAAGACCTTGTGCTCACTCGAGTGGCCTGGAGTGAGAAAAGATCTTGGGTGCCCTGTCATGTGGGAGGCAGCTCCTTCAGCGGAGCAACCCGTTTCCATGCCACGGAGTGATGCACATTTTGCTGAGCATCTGCACCAGCTCCGTAGGAACCGACTTTTCAATGGCCAAGGGGACGCCAAGGAGTGACAATGGGGAACAATGAGGCCCCTGTTCGGAGAGCTCCAGGCCTTGCACAACTCGCCGCTGGGCCCGCGTGTTGCTCAAGCTCGGCCTCTTGCCGCAAGCTTTTCTTGACAATGTCCGTATTGTACCGCGGCAGGCAGGGGCTTGCAAAGTCAGTGCCTCTTCCACGGGCTTTTTGCCAGGGTTGCTGCAAAGCGGGAGGAGAAAAACCCTCGTTGTCTTGGCCGGGATGAAAAGTGGAGTTCTGACAGCGTTAAAAAGGCCAAAAAAAAAAAAGCTGGAAAAACCCATTGTGTGGGGAAGGATGGAGGAAAGAGGAAGAGCTGAGGCTGTGCGTGGGCAGCAAGTGTGACTCAGGGGAAGGGCCTGCTCAGGCTTTCTGGCAGCTCTTGCTCAGGAGCACAGCACGTGCAACCCAAGCTGCCTAAAGGAATGGGAAAACCTTCCCGGAGGAGAGGGCAGGGGGGCGGGATGGTCTTGGCATCCTCTGGAGGAGGGGACTGTGGCTAAGGTGCCTCTGGGGAATTCCTATGTGTCACCCTGGAAGACAGTCCCTCTGCTTTCCCAGGGGATCTGCAGGGGTGTGAAAGAAGGTCCCAGCAGGTAGAAGCCAGCACAGGGGGACATGGAAGGTGAGCAGGGGCCTCGTGGGCACCAGAGCTGCTGTTTGTCCTTGCGGGTCCCCTCGTGCCATAAGTGGCACGCGGGGAAGCTCTGCAACCCGCTGGTCCCCTTCACTCCTGCCAGCTCGCTGGGGCTTCCCCAAATAGACGTGGAATTCGCTGAGTCTTATTATAGGTATAAAACTGCTATTTTTGCCCCTGCGTGTAGGCAGTGCTGGGCCGGGGGGGTGCTCGCTGGCTGTGTCCTGGCTCTGCTCTTGCTCTTGGACAGCTGGCTTTGTTTCCTCACCCAGCGTTCATGAAAGGTGCCAGATTCAGGGCATGTCTCTGGGTTAGATTCTGGGGAGAGGGTTGTTTGTTTGCTTTTTCAATGTGAAGCAGCATATATTTGATAGGAGTCTGGCAAAGGCTTCCGAGTTTACACATCAGATAAGGCAAAATGTGCCGTATTTGTATAAAGCAGGCAGCGCACCTGACCCCAGCTCCTCCTGTGGAATATTTTGATGTTGACTTCTCCCTCTCACCTTAGGTGTTGGAATGAGAGCAGGAATCCACTCTGGAGACACCATATTGGTCCCAAAGCAGCCCCTGAGCTGGAGGCATGGGGGGATAACAGTAAATGATGATGGGACTTGCCAGACTCAGGGAGCTCAGCGAGTTTTCGGGAGACCTTCTTGGCTCTCTGAACAGCATGACCATCACTGTGGCCAGATCCTTGTGAATCCAGCAGCAAGATCTGGACCTTCTGCAGCACCGAGGTCCTGCACCCAACCCGAAACCCGCTTCTGGTGTGAAATCTCAGCGCTGTCGCAAAACTGCAATGAGGCTGCATGGGGACTCACTCCCCCAAGGTGGATTGATTAGTGTGCTGCAGGGCTGCGCACACCCAAACCAGCCGCCTCCCGCTGTGGCTAATTAGCTAATTGCGCTGCTATTGGGCCACTGCGCCGATATTTGACCATTTCGTGCTGCTCTGTGTGACAGGGAGGCCGCCTCTCTCTTCCAGAGCCCGGGATGGAGCCCGGGATGGAGCCGCTCGGCCGCGCAGCGCCCGCGCCCCGGGCATCCGAGCGCGGGACGGGGGGGCGGGGCCGCGGGCGGG